CAAAACGAACAAACACCAAACCAGAACCAGTGGGATCTAAGGGGGAAAGAAGCAGCAGAGTCGAGCAAAGAAGCGGCATTGGGGAGCCCCAAATCACTGCTCCTATCCACCGCCTCTTCTTCATTTTCGATGGCGAGCTGCTGCTCCTCCCGGAGAGACAAGGCGTCACCAGGGTCATGTCGATTACACAGGAGTATTCGCGGATCTACAACTACGGCGTGACCCAGGACGATTGGCCGGTGCTTCTGAATCTAGGGTTGATCGGCGATTTGAATGGGGTTTTGGGGCAGACGCACGTGAGCCCAGTGAGCGTCAGCGCCGAGATGGCGGTGATGGGCGGTGATGTCTGCTCCGCCGTGACAGTCAATCCTTCTCTCTCGCATCAACAACAGTTGCACTAGTCTCTTCCTCCTCCAATCACCGAGTCGCAACACCTGCCCAACCTTCCCGACCAGCTAGAGAACAATCCATCTTTGCTCCTCTCTTCCCGGAGCCGATTCCTATGGGATTTGATTTTGGAACTGAATCTGACTAGAGAGCGGCGGCGGCGGAGGTGGAGTAAGGATAGAGAGAGTTGTTTTAGGGGTTTTTAGTTTCACATTTTTTTAGTTTTAGTTTTTTATATTTTTTATTTTTTTCAAGTCAAATAAATGACGTGGCAGCCACATCGTAGCCACCTTAGCATAGGATGTTGAGTCACTAACGGAAAAAAATCATTGACCGTCAATTTTAACGGTCAACCCAAACGTCGGGCCAAATTTGTCAAATAATTTCAAAAGTGGGTCATAAATGTCTTATTTGGAAAATGGGGTCAGAACTGTCACTAACGCTAAACTTCGGGCCAAACTAGGGTATTAACCCAATGATTTATTATCTGGCAAAAATTAGACATGTAGATAATGAACTTATGAAAATAATTGTATTTGATGAAGAGATTTGAAATTTAATGTAAAATATGTGTTGGTGCTGTATTTGATGGATCGACTTACATCTACAGATCTACTAATGTTTCGTTGAAACGGTCAGAAAGCAACCTATATATATTCACCTGTTTATTACACCCTTCCACATCATAGTGGCTCAAATTTTCATGAGAGAGGAATTTGAGTGGATTCAATGGATAACTCGCCCAATGCCCATCCTAGCAAAAGGTATGTACAAATAGTAGCATTATTTTTTAATATATAAAAGTCTAGGTGGTGAGTTACTATTCATTAGTGGTTCTCACACTCCTCCAATTGCAAGTGAGGAAGTTCCAAATTTTCTTTTACCCCACTCTCCATACTACAACCTTTGTGTTTAGTTATTAATTATTAATATATAAAAGTCTAGGTTGTGAGTTACTATTCATTGGTGGTTCTCACACTACTCCAACTGCAAGTGGGGAACTAAACTACAACTTTTGTGTTTAGTTATTGTTCGCTAGGTTTTCGTCTATGACTTTTTGCACAAATCATCGTCTCTGTGTTTTGTTATTGTTCGTTAGGTTTTCGTCTATGACTTTTTGCACCAATCATCATCTTTGTGTTTATTATTAATATATATTAATATATAAAAGCCTAGGTTGTGAGTAATGGTTCTCACACTCCTCCAACTGCAAGTAGGGAAGTTCCAAGTCTTTCTTTTACCCCACTCTCCATACTACAACCTTGTGTTTAGTTATTGTTCGCTAGGTTTTCGTCTATGGCTTTTTCCACAAATCATCGCCTCTGTGTTTTGTTATTGTTCGTTAGGTTTTGGTCTATGACTTTTTGCACCAATCATCGTCTTTGTGTTTATTTTTAATTAATATATAAAAGCCTAGGTGTTGAGTTACTATTCATTAGTGGTTCTCACACTCTTCCAATTGCAAGTGGGGAAGTTCCAAATCTTTCTTTTACCCCACTCTTCATACCACAACCTTTGTGTTTAGTTATTAATTAATTAATATATAAAAGCCTAGGTTGTGAGTTACTATTCATTAGTGGTTCTCACACTCCTCCAATTGCAAGTGAGGAAGTTTCAAGTCTTTCTTTTATCTCACTCTCCATACTACAACCTTTGTGTTTAGTTATTGTTCCCTAGGTTTTCGTCTATGGCTTTTTGCACAAATCATCGCCTCTGTGTTTTGTTATTGTTCGTTAAGTTTTCGTCTATGACTTTTTGCACCAGTCATCGTCTTTCTGATTAGTTATTGTTCGCTAGGTTTTCATCTATGGCTTTTTGCACAAATCATCGCCTTTGCCCACCATTATTAATATATAAAAGCCTAGGTTGTGAGTTACTATTCATTAGTGGTTCTCACACTCCTCCAATTGCAAGTGAGGAAGTTTCAAGTCTTTCTTTTATCTCACTCTCCATACTACAACCTTTGTGTTTAGTTATTGTTCCCTAGGTTTTCGTCTATGGCTTTTTGCACAAATCATCGCCTCTGTGTTTTGTTATTGTTCGTTAAGTTTTCGTCTATGACTTTTTGCACCAGTCATCGTCTTTCTGTTTAGTTATTGTTCGCTAGGTTTTCATCTATGGCTTTTTGCACAAATCATCGCCTTTGCCCACCATTATTAATATATAAAAGCCTAGGTTGTGAGTTACTATTCATTAGTGGTTCTCACACTCCTCCAACTGCAAGTGGGGAAGTTCCAAGTCTTTCTTTTACCCCACTCTCCATACTACAACCTTTGTGTTTAGTTATTGTTCGCTAGGTTTTCGTCTATGGCTTTTTGCACAAATCATCGCCTCTGTGTTTTATTATTGTTCGTTAGGTTTTCGTCTATGACTTTTTGCACCAATCATCATCTTTGTGTTTAGTTATTGTTCGCTAGGTTTTCGTCTATGGCTTTTTGCACAAATCATCGCTTTTGCCCACCATTTTGCAGCCCATCTCGAAATCCTAAGTTATTCCCCACCACCGTTTCCCAAAGCCGCTACCACGAGTTTTGTATCGGGATCGAGTTTCATCCAATTTAGTGTTTTTTCTTTTTGTTGAGCAAGATCACAATTGAACCCAAACACATGGGTATCCTAACTTGAACACAAATCATCGCCTTTGCCCACCATTTTGCAGCCCATCTCGAAATACTATCGACAAAATCCTAAGTTGTTCCCCATCATCGTTTCCCAAGGCCGCTACCACGAGTTTTATATCTGGACCGAGTTTCTTCCTCTTTAGTGTTTTGTTATTGTTCGCTAGGTTTTCGTCTATGGATTTTTGCACAAATCATCGCCTTTGCCCACCATTTTGCAGCCCATTTCGAAATACTGTTGGCGGAATCCTAAGTTGTTCTTCACCATCATTTTCAAAGATCGATACCACGAATTTTGTATCAGGATCGAGTTTCATGCTCTTTTGTGTTTTTCTTTCTTTTTTTCCTTTTTGTTGAGCATGATCACAATTGAACCCAAATCCATGGGTATCCAACCTAATTTGATCTAGTCAAAGCGACTTGAAACCGAATTTAGCGTTTATAAGTTTCTTTTTTCTTCTTCTTTTGGTTGGGAAGACAATTGAACCTGAATCTAAGGTTTTGAAGAGTGTTGTATTGTGAGCGAGCTTTATCCGCTTTTATAGTTGACAGGTTGGATCAAGTGTTAATTTGTTGAAAAATTGTTCAAAGCGAGTTGAACACGTTGTTGACTAGTTTTAGATCGAAAGAGAGTTTTGTACGCTTTAATATTTTATTTCTCATTTTCCTTTTCGTTGAGAATGACAATTGAACTCTGACCCATCGTTGACGCGTTTCATATCGAGAGCGAGTTTTATCCGCTTTTGTAATTGACAAGTTGGGTAAATTTTGAATTTGTTAAAATTGGGTCGACCCGGTCAAAGCGAGTTGAACGCAATGTTGAGAGTTTGGGGTCATGAGCGAGTTTTATCCGCTTTAGTATTTTTTTTTTTATCTTTTTTCTTTTGATTGAGAATGACAATTGAGTCCAAACGCATGGGTATATAACCTACTTCGACCTGACCAAAGCGACTTGAACCCGATTTTACAGGTTTTCGGTGGGAGCGAGTTTTATTTGTTTTTGTAATTGACGTGTTGTGTCAGGTGTGAATTTGTCCAAAACTCGGTCCAACCAGGTTAAAGCAAGTTGAACCTGGTGTTGATGAGTTTTGAGTCGGTAGCGAGTTTTAGCTTTAGTGTTTTTCATTTCTCTTTTTCATTTTGTTTGAGAAAGACAATTTGAATTCAAATCCATGGGTATCCAACCTAATTTGACCCAATCAATGCGAGTTGAACCTCCTCAAACCTGCAATCAATCCAAAAATTCCATAAAAGAGAACTACGATTATCTCAAACCAAAAAAAAAACATACAAATTGAAACATTAACGTCATGAAAGAAGTTTAAACATAAATAATCTATTCAACGATCCCTCTACCTTATGCAAGTTCATCGACTATATGTTATTGTAAATAACAAACCAATGAAAAGAATGATTAAGAATGAAATAAGATTACTTTCACTTTTGGGACAACATTAAAACTATTACTCTTTAAAATATTTATTTTTGTGATACGCATAGCGATAGCGAGCGGGGTTTTGCTAGTTATGATCAATAGGAAGCTAACTATTTCGCACCATTCTTATAAAAAAAACTAATTGTCGCAATACCACTTTCATTTCTGTTTCTTGTTTTTGAGAAAACAGGTGAAAACAACATTTTGTCGTTTCTGAAAACAGCAGGAAGTTGTCACTTTCTGTTTTCATAGTTGGAAACGAATAAAAAACAAAATGAAAAGTAGACAAGTTTTCCCGTTTTGGTTGCCAAATTTATGATATGAAAAGAGAAAATAGAAAACAAAAATGAAAGTGAAACAGGCCTAAGAGTTCAAAACCACTTGAAAAGAATGTGAAACGTGGAAAAGGACTACCTACCATCTCACCCTTAAATGCCTGTAAATAATGCATGCATATCGGGTAACCGTTGAAATAAGGTTATATTTCCCCCCTAGATCGAAGTGAAGGAAGGAAGAAACATCAATTGACTCAATGAAGAAGGTCTTCTTATTGGAAGACAATTAATTAATAATAAAAAGGAAAGAAGGCATCCAAATTAGGATTTCCCGGGAACAAAGATCCTCCATCAATGCATGTATCTTTCCTCTGGCAACAAACAATCAGCAAGAAAATCAATTGACGCCAGAGAAAAGCCCATACTCAAACCCAAATCAATCCATCCCCAGGCACAAACAAGCCCTTCTTCTTCTTCTTCTTGTTCCACATGATCATCATCTCTTGATCTCTCCCATCGGTACGTACCATGGTTCATCAATGAAGAAGCTCTTGTTTCCAACATCCTTGAGAAAACGAACGGAAAAGAAACCCTAGCAAGAACGTACGTACGTAGGCGTAATCTAAGTATAATATGTTCATCCCCATTACCATGCAAATTACGGCACAAGCATTATGGATCAAGCGAAGCGCCTCCTCTGTACCCGCGACCTATGGAACCCTTTCAATACCACATTTGTACAGACCTGCGGCATGCTCCTCGTCTCCCAGATCTTCCACGTCATCCTCAAGCCCTTGGGCCAGCCCGGCCCCGTCGCACAAATTCTGGTACGTACGCACGGTACAACTTTGCCCGTGGTTGTTGTTGTTTGTTGTTTTAATTTGTTGGTTTTAGGCAGGATTGGTGCTGGGGCCGTCGCTGCTGTGCAAAATCGAGCGGGTGCGGCAGATATTCATCCAGCCGGCGTTCGAGGCGTACAGCTTCCTCCTCCTCTTCGTGTTCCGGATCCTGTTCATGTTCAGCATCGGGCTGGAGGCGGACCTGCCTTACATGTCGAGGAACATGAAGCGGATCGGCGTGGTCGCGGCCTGGAACCTGGGCGTGTGCGGCGCCTTCGGAGCCGCGGCTTCCTTCTTCGTCATCTACCTCCTCAAGGTGGCGTCCCACAGGTTCGCCTTCGCCATCATCATCATGATCATCGTCGCCAGCACCGCCTCCCCCGTCGTCGTCCGCCTCGTCGCCGAGCTCAGGTTCGACACCGCCGACACCGGCAGGCTCGCCATCTCCGCGGCCTTGTTCATCGAGCTCTTTTGCATCGCCTGGTACTCCACCTACCTCGCCTTCAGTGCCGGGAACATGTTTGGCTTTGCACTTGTTTGCATAGTCGGGACTGGGATCGTCGCCTACGCCAATAGGTACAGTTTTGGGGATCTCTGATCTCTTGTTTGCATTAAACGATCCATCTCATTTGTTAAGTGGTCGATCATTCATTAAAAAAATGGTCTACCGAATGACCTGATGACATATTTACCTTCAACTAGTCAGCCATTTTTCAAGAAATGGTCTACCACTTCCTCAAATGGTCGACCTTATGACACACTGTTATAAATGCGCTGCTACAGATCGGGAAATCGCCGGAATCGACAAAGCAAGAATACGAAAGCGAGAATCGAAAAACACAGACACATGATTTACGTGGTTCACTAAGACGATGTGTGTTAGCTAGTCCACGGGCGAGAGAGAGCCAGTTTCACTATATCGAGGAGATTACAGATTACAGAGGAGTATGAGAAGTATTTATAGTGCTTCTTCATGTGGGTCTAAACCTAATCCAATCTGACAAAGGAAATGGTTACAGACCAGGCCTAGAACCCGAACCCAAATAACATTGAGCTCATTCAAGTATTTACCAGTCGTAGCGGCTGATAGTCCGATTCAAGTAACATTATAACATACTTATATATTTATAATATAATTTTAACAAACGCATCCTCTCAGATTCATGGCGATGTGGTGCAACAAGAGGAACAGGAACATGAAGTTCGTGCCGGGCACGGAGATGTCGGCGATCCTCCTCCTCGTCATCCTGCTCTCCTTCATGATCGAGAAGCTAGGGTTCAACAGCATGATCTCCTGCTTCCTCGTCGGCGTGGCTTTCCCAAGGGAAGGCAAGACCACAAGAACGTTACTTCATCGCTTGACCTACGCGGTCAACAACTTCATCCTCCCCATCTACTTCGGCTTCAACGGCTTCCGGTTCGACGTCAACTACCTCATCAGCGTCAGGAACTGCATCGTGGTTGCGCTGGTCATCGTGCTGGGAATCGGAGGGAAGATCATCGGGACGCTCTGCGCTTGCCATCACTTGAACATCCCCAGGAACGACGCCGTCGTGCTTGCTTTCATTCTCAACTTGAAGGGCCATGGCGAGCTTCTTGTCATTGAGGCTTTCTCCAGGTCAGATGTAAGTTCCGTTCCCTGTCTTACTTTTCTTTTCTTGACATGCATGCATGCAAATGGATGCTTTTAACCACTATTATATAATATAATATTCACTCGGTCTAATTTGTTTTGTTGGCTTGATTCGCGAATGGACAGACATGGTGGGACGACAACACGCACAAGCTGGTGATCATCATTGTGGTGATCAACACCCTAATCGCCGGTCCAGTAGTTTCCTTCATACTCAGACGCGACGCCAAGTACTTCGCCCACAAACTCACCTTCTTGGAATTCCTCGACCCTGAGAAGGAGCTCCGCTTCCAGCTCTGCGTCTACGAGTCCCGCCACATCACCTCCAAGCTCGGCCTCATCGCCTCCATGACCGGATCCAACCGCTCCCCTACCGTCACCTACCTCCTCCACCTTGTCGAGCTCCAGAAACGACACCGCCGAAAGAAAAAACTCATGTACCACCAGCTTCAGGTAAGATAGTTAAGTGTGTCACGAATCGCAAAATCCTGCTTTTCGCCGGTTAGCCAACAGGTTACTTAGTCTCAATAATTCGAGTTGTTGGGAAATGATTTGTATTTTTTATTAGGGCTGAAAATTTGTCTGTCTCGTTCCTGACCCATCCTAGACCCTGTCTGACCCGTCCCTGAAGGATCAAGATGTATAACTGACCCGTCTCGTTCCTGTCTCCTTCTTGACCCTATCTGACCCTTAATGGTTGGGACGGGCCAGGGCGGGACGGACCAATGGGTCGACCCTAATCAACACACAACTTTTTTACAAATGATATTTTGGTACCCAAAATTATTTTTTCTCACAATTTAGTACCTAAAATTTATTTTTTTACAAATAAGTTCATAAATTTTGATGGTAAAATTACGTTTTGGTACCCAAAATTTTTTATACAAGTTAGTACCTAAAGTTTTAAAACTTTACAAAAATGTCCAATGTGGTGTGAGATTTTTGTTGTTGCTAAGGATCACAGGGTCAAAAAGTGACCCGTCCCTAAGTTGTCCCGACCCATCCCGATCCTTATAGGGTCAACAAATGACCCGTCCCTAATCTGACCCTATAGACAAACTGACCCGTCCAGACCCTTAAAGATGAGACGAGTTGGGATAGGTCAGTGGGTCTTCGGGGTCAAGCTTTCACCCTGTTTTTATATGTCCAATGACTACTTGTGGGATTTTCAATTTGCACATATCATCCATATATTGCTAAAACATTAGGCTTTTAGTTTGCACAATTTGAATATATCATCACTTCTGCTAAACCATTGTTTATAAGAAATTCCTACAATACCTTGAAGTTATGCTAATTTGATGTTTTTGACCTGCTATAACAGGTTTCACAAGTCGCATTACGTAAAATACAATAGGCATTACGTAATGATTACGTAATGTGTGTTTGTCTTACGTAATAGTTGAAAAATGTCATTACGGAAACCTTATGTAATAGAGACTCATTTTACGTAATGAATATTAACCTTTCGTTACGTAATTTGTTGAATCATTACTGAAGACTTACGTAACACTTCTAATTTAACTGTTAGATAAGAAATAACTATCGTTACGTAACGTTTACGTAATAGATGCATACTTTACGTAACAGTTATTAAGTGGCATTACGGAAGCCTTACGTAATATCAGGAGTTCTGATAAGAATTCAAAATCTGACTTCTCAATTGAAGATTCTGATATACCATGTAACGAACAAATCACTTAGTTTCAAAATATTGAAATAGGATTTATATAAGTTTTTTTTATCACTTACATGGCACCTCATTAGAATATTTACTAAAGCCTTAAACTGGTTATAAAACCTTTTAATGACCATATAATTTTGGTAGTCGCTATAGCCCGTTACGAATTATGCTGAACTCTGACTTGTTATTAACATCAGGACGGCGACCAGTTCAGCGACGACGACGAGTACGGAGGTAACGACATAGTCGAGATCAACGACGCCGTGGACGCGTTCACAACCGACAGCAAGATCCTCGTCCACCAGAACAAGGCCGTGTCTTATTTCCCGAAAGTGTACGAGGACGTGTGCTCAAGCGCGGAGGACCTGCGGGTGTCGATCGTGTTCCTGACGTTCCACAAGCACCAGCGGCTGGACGGGAAGCTGGAGAACGACAAGGACGGGATGAGGATCGTGAACCAGAAGGTGTTGCGCCACGCGCCGTGCTCGGTGGGGATATTCGTGGACCGTGGGCTCACTGGGTTCCAGCTGCCGAGCCCGGAGCTGGCCCAGAATGTGGCTACATTGTTCTTTGGTGGGCCCGACGACAGGGAGGCCCTGGCTTGTTGCAAGAGGATAGCCATGCATCCTTACGTGAACTTGACGATTATTAGGTTTCTGTCGTCGGGCCAGCCCAAGAAGAAGGAGGTGCATGATAGGAACGGTGAGGACGAGGAGCAGCATATTTCGATCTGCAGCTATGAGGTGGACATGGCCATAGATAATGTTTTCATGGAGGATTTTTGCAACCGGTACGTGCATGATTAAACTCGATCTTTTAATTGATTAACCACACTAAATTCCTTCGAATTATAAATATTTACGTATATATATATATACATAAATGTTGTTTCAGATATGTGACGTCAGGAAAGGTGAAGTACGTGGAGAAGAGGACGGAGAACGGAGAGCAAACGGTGGAGATACTGAAAGAGATAGGAGAAATGTACTCATTGTTCATAGTAGGGAAAGGCGGGCGGGGGAATTCTCCGATGACGACGGGAATGAGCGATTGGGAGGAGTGCCCGGAGCTAGGGGCCGTCGGCGACATTCTGGCTTCTGCGGAGCTTAATTTGGGTGCTTCCGTTTTGGTCATTCAACAACATAGAAGTGCTACTGATGGGCATGAAGATAACGAGAATCCCGTTCTAGATGATGGCGATTAATGATATATATGCCCATGACGAGGATTAGTGTTTTTTACTTTCTTCCCTTTTCATCATCCATTTTTTTGTTGGATTTTTCATCGATTGTTAATGAAGTAGCTTAAGTTTAATTAGGTTATAGATTATACGGTAGTAGTGTAAGTTTGAATTCGGGTAAATAAAGAAGAGAAGATTTGATTGTACATATGTTTTTTCTTAATAAAAATTGAAAAACGTTAGACATAAACCACTACATAGAGAAGTCATTCTACAAAATCCAATGAAACTAACTCTAAAGAGAACAAAAATATGGCTTTACGTGCCATTCTATGGGCAGCTCAGTTGGCAGTCCACAGAACCACTCTAAAAACTATACAATGAGGAGATGACTTAAGTAATTTTTCTCCAACTTCCTCTCTTAATTTTTCTCCAACTTTTTTGATCTATTCCCCGTCAAAGATGAGCAGAGCCTGGCGTGACCAACTGGCGGATTTCATTGGCCTTGCGAAGTGTTGGATAGGTGCAAGTCTGGGATATGAGGTGGTCATTGAATCTCTACTGATATTTACTTCTTAATCTTCCTTTCGCTTTGTCTGTATTTTCATTTTTATAAGGGTGCGTTTGGATACAATGATTTGGATTTGGTATTTGTGATTTGGATTTCCAAATACCAAATCATGTGTTTGGATATTAATTACATTTGGTATTTGGATTTGTGTCAAATTCATGGGGTGATTTCCAAATACATGTCTAGTGTATTTTTTGTCAACTTCAAATACATTTCAACAACTAGTGATTTGAAATACCTCCTAACAAAAGAATGGACCTATTTGTAAAATATGAAAAGTTTAGGTACTATAGTGTGAGGCAAAACATATAAAGGTACCAAAATGTAATTTTACCACCAAAATTTCAGGACCTTTTTGTAAAATTTTAAAAGTTTAGGTACTAAATTGTAAGAAAAAATAATTTTGGGTACCAAACTGTAATTTACCAAAATTTGTAGTAAGTGACCAGAAAATTAAAAATTGAAATTGAAAATCATAAAATACAAAATACAAACAAATTACAAATGAGTATCCAAACAATGAATTTGAATTACATGTATTTCAAATGCTAATATTTCGAATACATCCATTTCAAATGCTAATATTTCAAATACCTTACATTTAAAATCCACTTATCCAAACGCACCCTAAGCGATTTTGTTCGGTTTGTTGGCTAGCTCTGCTTTGTGACCGTAATTAATTGATTTTGCAAATGGAGTTTGCTCGAAAGGGAACAAACATATCTGAACATTGCAAGAACAATGCTTGTTTTCAGTCTGCTTCCATGTTCATTTTCCTTTTATTGATAGTTGATTTCAGCACTTCCAAATAACAGAGTTGTACTTTCTCGAGTGGAGTGAGTAGGCCTGAGGCTTGTTTGGACCAAGTCGGTTGGTATGAGTTGGTGCAGCAAGGGCAGACTTTGATAACCAAAATAGGTTGATGAGTAGGGCTGCAAATGAGCCGAGCTTGCAAAGCTCGTTGGGGCACATTTTTGTAATTTATTATTGTATTAATTGTTGTAATGTTTTTCAATTTAAAATAATTAGTCTCTTTCATTGGCTCTGATACCAAAGTTGAAATGATTCTCATAGAATTTGATACCAAAGTTGAAATGATTCTCATAGAATTTGATACCAAATTGACATGATTGACATGATTCTCGTAAAGATGTTGACCGAAGAATCTGATACTAACAAATTGATATATGCATGGTTTTTTCACGTAACTTTGCTTTCTTTAGTTTTTGTTCATTCTTCATGGAAGGAAAAAGTGGCATGATTACAACCAATACAATTTTGTATTTTATAAGGATATTTTTCAGTTTTTCCTAACTGAGCTTTAACTATTCATTAATTTTTGTTTTATCTTAGTTAAACTAGTTATTATATCGGTAATTAATTCAGTTTTGGATACGGCTTCTTCCAATGTTTCTGAATTTCCTATACACATTTGTTTTGGATAATCGGAAATTTACCATACTAGTAGAAGAACAAATGTGTATAGGAAATTCAGAAACATTGGAAGAAGCCGTATCCAAAACTGAATTAATTACCGATATAATAACTAGTTTAACTAAGATAAAACAAAAATTAATGAATAGTTAAAGCTCAGTTAGGAAAAACTGAAAAATATCCTTATAAAATACAAAATTGTATTGGTTGTAATCATGCCACTTTTTCCTTCCATGAAGAATGAACAAAAACTAAAGAAAGCAAAGTTACGTGAAAAAACCATGCATATATCAATTTGTTAGTATCAGATTCTTCGGTCAACATCTTTACGAGAATCATGTTAATCATGTCAATTTGGTATCAAATTCGATGAGAATCATTTCAACTTTGGTATCAAATTCTATGAGAATCATTTCAACTTTGGTATCAGAGCCAATGAAAGAGACTAATTATTTTAAATTGAAAAACATTACAACAATTAATACAATAATAAATTACAAAAATGTGCCCCAACGAGCTTTGCAAGCTCGGCTCATTTGTAGCCCTACTCTTGAGTCAAGAGGAACTAAAGGGAAAATTTACCATACTAGCAGAACAATTACAAAATGATGCTCAAAGTCTTAAAAACTATTATAAGTACTAATGACCACAGAAAATATATCATTAAAAATCGAAAAACTTGGGAAACAACTAAATGAATATCAAGGAGTTATAATAAGCACATTAGAAGAAAATAATAAAAATCTAAGAACAATATTAGAACATCAAGTAAATAAAAAACATAAAGAATTATACTCTGATTTAGAAACCGCCAAGAATATAATAGATAATATTATTAAACAAATACAGAATAAAGGAAAAGCTATTGAAAGCTCTCACGTTGAAAAAAATAAAATATTGCCAGAAGAAAATCTTAGAGAAATAATAATAAACCTTCAAGAAATAATAATTAAATTAGAAAACACTCGATACCTTACTATAGAAGATATGAAAAAATGTTTGGAAAATCATAATAATCCTGGCAAACTAACAATTGTTAAACCTTATCTAATATGACAACTATAGACGAAAATATAAATAAACTAAATGATTTATTAATGGCTTTAAATATTGAATCAGATAATGAAGATCATATTGAAAACGATAAAGTAGTGCTAGATTACAGTAGTGACGAAAATCCATATGCAAATTACATGAAAACGGAAAATAACCCAGGCGAAACATCTAACACGGTTCCATCTAAATCAAATAAAAGACGATTTAATGAATATAACGATGGTCAAATGCACTTTGATGAATATCTTTACAAAAATTATTACGTTCCTCGTAGGGGGGGAGAATGGACGAAAATTCCTCACTCATACATTCCCAAACACTCTACAACAAGTTATAATAATTCAGATATTCTAGACTTAGACTGTAGCACTAATCCATTAAAAGAATTAGAAGACTGGAAAAATTGAACAGGATTATTAATTCAAACCAACGAAGATTTAGAAAAACTTAAACCTAGTGAAATATTTAATTTTCTAATATACAAAACCACTGGAGCGGTCTATCATTATTTGAGTACAATGGATATTCCTGCTAAAACAAGTCTATACGGAGATGATGCTATAAAAACTTTTGAAAAAGTATTAAATGCTTTAACTTATGAATTTCTAGGAAGATATCCAAGAGAAAAAGAAACTAATGCAACCCTAAGTAATCAGGCTATTTGGCACCTAACGAATTTAAGAATCTGCAATATGTGTTATTTAGAATCATTCATTTGCGAATTTAAAATACATTATTATCAGGTTATTCTGTCAGTAAGAAAGGACCTAGATAAATTATTCTTTTCTAAATTACCATTATTAGTAGCACAAAAAGTAGAAACTGCATTTAATGAAGCAGTTCAAAAAGAGGAAGTACCAGATACGTTAGGTAGGGCTGCAAATGAGCCGAGCTTGCAAAGCTCGTTGGGGCACATTTTTGTAATTTATTATTGTATTAATTGTTGTAATGTTTTTCAATTTAAAATAATTAGTCTCTTTCATTGGCTCTGATACCAAAGTTGAAATGATTCTCATAGAATTTGATACCAAAGTTGAAATAATTCTCATAGAATTTGATACCAAATTGACATGATTGACATGATTCTCGTAAAGATGTTGACCGAAGAATCTGATACTAACAAATTGATAATACATGCAATAATTCATAAGCTAATACATAATCAACAAGGAAGGGTTGGATGTGTTGGGTGGAAATAGTAGGGTGTCTCTAATCCACGAATTATATAGTAGTCGGATGAGAGTTAGTTGTTGTTTAGGATTATGTATCCCGCCTTCTCTGTAGCAATTGTGGCTACTTAATTGCAAAGTTACGGTAAGTGTAGTAGGAATGCAATTGCAAGGTAATACTTTTTTATTTTATATTCCTATTTAATTAAGTAATTTCACTATCTACGTCTTATAAACTTTGGAAATAAATTGATTAACTAAGCTCTCAAAATTTTAATTTTTTGTCTTATTCACTTAATTTAGGCTTTAAAGATTCTTTTTTCTTCTTCAGATTTCTTGAATATAAGAACCAAAGATTATTTTATTCATTTAATTTTGGATGGTTAAAGATAAACCTAATGGTTTTTAAGGGTTTGACATGAAACCAGATGAATCACTCCGGTTTAACTGATCCACTGGTATACTATTTTAATCACAAAAAATTAAGAAAAAAAGTACGTGAACTGAAACCATCAAACGTCAATCACTAATTCTATTTATGTTTCATTTTTTTCATTTGTCAGCTTTCTTATCGGATTTATCAGGTTCACTATGGATTGTCACTCTTATTGTTGACTTGAATTTAATAAAAAAATTATGATTACTTTTGTGAGATAGTTTGAATGCTTTGTTAGAACTTTTTGGTGATAGATGATATGAATTTGAAATCTTTTATGGGTAGTGATATATTCACTCATAACTTAGAGTATTATATATGTTATTTTATATTATAGCACATGAACGATTCTATTAACGATTAACTAAAAGTTCTATAACAATTAATCGTTAAAGTATAAAGCACTAACTTTTCCGATTCAGCATTCAGTCCGACTTTAACAATATTGATTTTCTTGTACCATGCACTTCGCAAGTATAAAGCACTAACTTCGCAAGTGAACTTACCCATGCATAATTATTAGTCAGATTTCCATTGTTTAGTTAAATAAGCTTTTTTTTTACGAAATTAGTTAGTTAGTTAGTTAAAGAAGCTGGAAATAAATAGCCGGCCCATATAAATCAAACCATTTCTATGCTCTAAGGCCCACGAGAACTAAATAGGAAATTACCGAAGACCCCCTCCGTGGTGTGCGCAGGAACGGGAAAAGTGAAATTAAGGTAGTGTTGGAGGAGAAACTCCATTATGTATTGTTTGATCCTAAGAACTAGGGCTGGGCATGCGGGCGGATCATCCGCGGATTTGGACCGACCCACCCGCATTTGACCTGAATTTCGTTAAGTGGATGGGTCAGTGGGTGGGTGACGGGTTGCGCTGAGAGCCATCCGCCGGATGGTGGGTGGGTTGTGGGTGAGTGTGCGGGTGACCCGCTCAACCCAACAGCAAAAAGATCAAAGTTGTTGGCGCTAGAGAGAGGAGAGTGTAGACTTTAGATATAAACTCGGACTGCTCCTCGAGTTTGAACCTCAAAGCCAACCTTCCAAATAGAGATCCCCTCTTCTTCCCTTTACTTTTTCCTCTAATTCTTGTGCCTAGATCACCGCTCTTTCCTTTGTGGAATTATTTTCCTTAGTTTCTTGCACCTAATAATCGTCTCAATCTGTAGAAAACTCTTTCATAATAGAATTTCTATCCAATTTAAGAACTAATTCAACATTTTTCGCCCTATTTCAACTTCTTGTTTCCCTCGATGATTCTCTTCACTTATTATCATGTCAAGTTGACTTCTTTATATTATATACATTGTGATGTGGGTGAACCCACAAACCCACCCGCATCATCCACCATCCGCCCGACCCAACCCGAGACTAAATGTGGGTGGGTGGTGGGTTAAAAAATAACAATCCGTGTAAGCGCGGGTGGGTGCATTTTATGGTCAAAATCCACCCGACCCACCCAATGCCCACCCCTACTAAGAACAGGAAAAGTAAATCATCAAACAAATTTGCTTGACCATTAAGGTCCATCCGCAGAAGATCTTGTTTGTATCTGCTGCAATCCCCTCCACCGTGGAAGACGTATATTGCATTACTATATATGTGAACCCAAACAAACGGTCCCACTTTTAAAATCAAAGACTGAACAAATATTAAAAAACAAAAGGGAAAATAAAGGGTGCGTTTGGATACAATGATTTGGATTTGGTATTTGTGATTTGGATTTCCAAATAGCAAATCATGTGTTTGGATATTAATTACATTTGGTATTTGGATTTATGTCAAATTCATGGGGTGATTTCCAAATACATGTCTAGTGTATTTTTTGTCAACTTCAAATACATTTCAACAACTAGTGATTTGAAATACCTCCTAACAAAAGGATGGACCTATTTGTAAAATATTAAAAGTTTAGGTACTATAGTGTGAGGCAAAACATATAAAGGTACCAAAATGTAATTTTACCATCAAAATTTCAGGACCTTTTTGTAAAATTTTAAAAGTTTAGGTACTAAATTGTAAGAAAAAATAATTTTGGGTACCAAACTGTAATTTACCAAAATTTGTAGTAAGTGACCAGAAAATTAAAAATTGAAATTGAAAATCATAAAATACAAAATACAAACAAATTACAAATGAGTATCCAAACAATGAATTTGAATTACATGTATTTCAAATACTAATATTTCGAATACATCCATTTCAAATGCTAATATTTCAAATACCTTGCATTTAAAATCCACTTATCCAAACGCACCCCAAGAGAAAAGAAGACCTACCTCAAAAGAGCTGAAAACCTTCTTTTGTAATCACTCATCAATAGGGCTGCAAATGAGCCGAGCTTGCAAAGCTCGTTGGGGCACATTTTTTTAATTTATTATTGTATTAATTGTTGTAATGTTTTTCAATTTAAAATAATTAGTCTCTTTCATTGGCTCTGATACCAAAGTTGAAATGATTCTCATAGGATTTGATACCAAATTGATACCAAAGTTGAAATGATTCTCATAGAATTTGATACCAAAGTTGAAATGATTCTCATAGAATTTGATACCAAATTGACATGATTCTCGTAAAGATGTTGACCGAAGAATCTGATACTAACAAATTGATATATGCATGGTTTTTTCACGTAACTTTGCTTTCTTTAGTTTTTGTTCATTCTTCATGGAAGGAAAAAGTGGCATGATTACAACCAATACAATTTTGTATTTTATAAGGATATTTTTCAGTTTTTCCTAACTGAGCTTTAACTATTCATTAATTTTTGTTTTATCTTAGTTAAACTAGTTATTATATCGGTAATTAATTCAGTTTTGGATACGGCTTCTTCCAATGTTTCTGAATTTCCTATACACATTTGTTCTTCTACTATATCTGATATGAAGTGAGATAATTC